TATAAACTTAAAATTTCTCTAAAATATAAATCTACTAATTACATATACCCAGGGTATAAAATTATATATAATTTTATATATAATTGGGTAGCACTGTCTCACTTTAAGAAGTATTTTTCAAAAATTTTCAAAAAATCAAAGTTAGGCAAGAAGTACATGCAACTTTTAAATTTACATATAAAAAATAATTATTGCAAAATATTAGCTTCTCCATAAAGCCTTTCCCAAGGGCCTAATCACTGGTACTTCTACAGAGCTTCATTTGTATCTCTCGTTGCATGGTTTTGTCATATCATAGGTATTTTTTTTCATTATTTGTGTATTTTTTTCTCCTGTGCTTTATGACTCCAGGAGGGCAAAGCACACATTATACTTTATTTTACTTATATTTATTCCCAGCTGCATAGCACAGTACCTTGTACACAGTTGTTAATAAATGGATACTCAAGATATTTATTACTCCTTACTTTATATAATAGTTACATCCCTGAAGATATACATACTATATCTTGAATTCATTTTATACTACTAATCTCTGTTAGTTCATCTTTCACTGTGCTTTCACTGTTTGATCATTTTTTCAGGCTTATATCTTGAAATCTGAGCAACTACTTGAAGATAACAATATGCAATATATTAACCATTGTTAACCTCCTATCATGTTGTTCTGAAATTCTGTATCTTTTTGTTCTTTTGTTTAAAAAATGACATTCACAAGTAATCAAGCAAGTAGATAGTATGCTATGGTACTACACATCAAACATGAGAACATTTTTCCTTTTCTTCTTTTCATTTGACATTTCTTTTGCTTCCCCTTTACTCATCTGTTCTTCAGGACTAGTCATAATACAAACACTGCTACACAGACAGCTAAGACAGATGGTCTTTAAAGCTGAGAAGATTCTTTAACCTTGTATAAAAATTTCCAGAATACATACAAGAGATAGAACGGAGTATAATGGGTCCTAGATTAGTTCAAAGTGCTTATATGTCAAAGCATGCAATCAGGTTTGAGAAAAATATAGGCAAGGAGTGAAGGCAGTAACAATCTAGCTTTGCACTTCAATTACAAAACACACATGCAATACTGCTAAAAATAAGCAACAATCAATTTTTTAATATTTGGAAAAATGGTCACTTCTTAGTTACTTTTTTTTGTTGCTGAGACAAAATATCTGACACCCAAAATTAAAGAGAAAAAGGTTTATCTAGCTCACAAGTTGTAGAGATATCAGTCCATAATCAGCTGGCTCCAACGCAGGGTGGCACATGGCAGAGGAGCAATAGATTATGACAGCAGAAGAAAGAAAAAGCAAACAAGGGAAGACAGCAAAAGCAACAAGAGACAGCGAGATAAGCTTCTGGTATCCCTCATGCTGTATCCAGTTTTCCAAGATTAGGGCGGTGCCAATCCAGTCAATGTACTAAACCATCATCACCCACACTTAAATCTCAAGATTGCACTCCAAATTTATCACACATTTTAGATTAAGTCACCTCCGAAAAAAAACCCCAAAACAAAACAAAACAAAACAAAAACTCCCTATGATCAGATGAGGCTTTGAGAGGGATATCTAGACACAAACCATAACAGTTACCTTTAAACTGAGGACAGTCCAGAAGCTGGAAAAATGTTGTTTGAAATGTTTATGCTACTGCTAACCTCTCCATGTCTCATATTAGTCTATGCTTACTAAAAAGAAAATTATTTTTGCAACCTTTGAAAGTACTAGTAGCCACTTATTATATAATGTTTGCTAGTTTCAGTTTACACAGTTTAATACAGTATTTTCTATTCTTGTGTGTAGTTAGTATTTGCTGATTGTACTTGATCTTATAAAAAGGGCAAGAAGCGTTTTTTTGCTGCTTAATGAACCAAATATTATTATTCTAAAAATATTTCAGTCCCAGCAACAGGCATAGCAGCACGTGCTTATAATCCCAGCACTCAGGAACCTGAAGCTAGAGGATGACAGTGAGTACAAGGACAGCCTGGACTATAGATTGAGTTCAAGATTAATCTCAAATACATAGCAATATCTTGTCTCAAAGTAACAATTTTTTTAGTCCTTAAGGAAGTTAGTTTAGATCTAGAGTTCACATGTGAATATCGACCTGTTACCAAGCAACAGAAATGTGTATTTTTGAAGGACTGGAACATAATCTAAAAATAAACCCTAACAGAAATTTCCTTACTTACAACTTTTCCATTTTGCTAGTTATGGTACTCATGTCCTCTTCAAGTCAAAGAAGTATAAAATTTCACCTGCCTGTAACTCGTTAGCAAGGTGTTTACATTCAGCTAATAAAGGAATAAAGGCAAATTTGCGATCTTGTTTTGCCTGAGAGCTCAGTATCATCTTTATCCTTAAGTAATTTGTATGTAAAAGACAATCTAGCAACTAGTACTGTATTAAAAATAAATCTGAAAGTTAAAGAATTTCAAAATAAGCTAATTGTAATTTTATGTTTTCTGTTCAGCTTAAATGGAATGAAATATGTGATTCTTGATCTATAATTCAGCATGTTGGTTTAAGTACTCTTTTCAGTATTCAGTCAGATTCACTGGCAGATACTCAACAGAGTGCATAGACGAGAAAGGTGATGTGAAAATGGAGAATCTGATGGTGAATTATTTTGGTTTTGCTTTTGCCTCTTCCTTCACTGCCTACCAGTTTCTTTTATTTCTTATTTTGCTTGCCTACAGAGCAAAGGTTCTACCTGAGTCATTTATTTCTGTTCTTTTTCTTGGTGAACTAATTTAATTTGCACTGTTTCAACTATCTTCCTTTTTTTGTGGTACAGGTCATTGAATTCAGGGCTTTCATAAAGCTGTCTTTTTCTATTTTGATTTGAGACAGGGTCTCACTAAATTTCTAAGTTGCCCAGGCTGAACTTCAACTTGGAATCCTCTTGCCTCACCATCCCAGGGCGCTGGGATTATTAGCACCAGCCACCAAGCCCAGCTAGTATATCAAATTTTAATCTCTCTAACTCTATGGTACTTCCTGAGTTTGTCTTACAGTTTACATAACCAACTGAATTGCCATATCTAGATGTTCTACTAGTATCACAAACTTTAGCATTTCCAAAACTAAGATCTTCATACTCCAGACAAGAGTTCTGGACTTACTTTTCTTTATTAAACTTTTTAAAAGTGCACATCTAATAACTAACCAATTGCTATAAGTCTTGCTGACTACTATAAATCTGTGGCATCTTTTCTTTCTATATTACCATTTATATCTACACTCTGGAACAAACTGATATTACTGCTTATCTACACTGTTACACTGGCCTCATATTTACTTAGTAAGTATTTGCTGACTGAAATTAATGGTATTCCTATTTCAAATCTTTCACTACTTTAACCCACCTTCTACAACAGAGCAGATTAACTTCCTAAAGCACAGCTCTAAATTTACTAGTTTTGAACTTTAAAAGTAGAGATTCCTATTTCCCAAATAACTAAGTTTTTATAGTTAAGATATCTCATATTAGGAACTCATATCTTTCCAAGCTTACCTCCAATTCTTCTGAAAAATTTTCCCTTCCCTAAGACCAAGATGAACTATTCACTTCTCTAGGATTACTATGTATATTCTTTTTCTAGGCCATCATTCAAATTATTCCTATACCAATAACAATCCTACTCACTAATCAAGGCTATCTAAAATGTCATCTCCTTTGCAGAACTTTTCATGATGCTTCCTTCTTCTTTTCTTTGAAATCCCACAAAACATTTGGTACTTTGGGGTGGGGAGCGAACAGTGCTAGAATAGTCCTAGGACTCTGTTCATACTAAGCAAGTGCTCAGACACTGAACCACACTCCAAGTCTTGGCTGGCATTTCTTTAAATTATTTGTAACTTATCTAGCATTATGATAATAAGAATAAAATTTGTTTTATACCAAGGGAAAATTTTGCTTTATTCATATTTGAATACTCGTCAGTACCCAAAACAGTACACTGTATAAGTTCCCAATATATATTTTAAGTAGGAAAAAGAACGAGTTAATAAAAAGGAACACACGTGATGTAAAAAAGAAGTATTGAGACCTGGGTTTGAAAAAAAAAATAATCCTTAAAGAGAAATAATGAAAGTATAGCCAAATTTCATTTATATTTAAAGCACTTTAAACCATATACTTAGGAATCTAAATTTATTTTTATTTCTAACATTTACATTATGTTGTACAATCTAAGCCTTTCATATGTCACTTTAATCCATATCACAAACCTATTTTACAAACCTGGCAGGGAAACTAAGCAACTTTCCCAAGGTTACAAGATTAGTGGCAGAAACTAGGCAGTCTGATTCTAGACACCATGTTCATGATCATTACAACACATTGTATTTTTATATGTATACTTCCCTGACTTTAAATCTAAATAAATTAAAAACAAAAATTTTAAAACTTAAGAGAAATCATTATAATTTTGTGTTATAGAACAATGAAAAAATGAAATGATGGCTGAAATATACATGAATCTTATTTTGAATTTATCCAGGCATCATGGCTTTTTTCTCAGTTTTTTCTTTTTTTCTCCTTGATATTAAACTGTTATTTACTACTTAAGGCTACTGATCTGTCTAAAATGTCTTTCATGTCGTTATTTCCAAGTTACTTGGAACTGGAAACCATACTTATGAGATAATATGTATTAAATAAGAGTCAACAAGATTCTGAAGAATCTTTTACAGTGTCCCTTATATCTGTTATAGTGGTTTTATACTGGTTTTAGGAGCAGATTCTTCTAAGCTGAGGAAATTATGACATATGATCCAGATATAGATCAGATATTACCACATAATTTCTACTTACAGCATAATTACACAAATTAAATGAGGGTCTTAAAAGCTGGCAATGTTCTGCCAATAGTGCCTTGTATTAGTTCAGGTTCATAACTAGAAAATGTCACAGCATTTATTCTATTATAGTGCAATCCTTAAATATTAGGCATAGCATAAAACAATGTATGATTCTCCTATTCTTACCTTTGCGCCACCCAAAAATCCCAAGGAAATGGCAACTCTAGCTCGTAAATCTGGCCTTTCTTGGGGCCATACATAAGAAAGCATTGCTTTTACAATTTTCCGAGCATCAATATCTTTTAACTGTTGAAAGAGAAAACAAAGAAGGAACGTCATTTCAAATTTAACCATAGATCAGTTTTGTACATTTATATAAATACTTGAGAAATACATGAGCACATTATAAATATATCTTTTACTGTGTATCTAAGGCTAATATTTTCAAACTCAAGATATTTTGGAGCTACTTATTCTCTTACATTTCTTCCTTCCTACTACAGTAACATTCATACTGCTAAAAAGTTATCGATAGTGGCAAGGACACTCATCTTTTGTCTATTAAACTATAAAATTATACATCAAATTTTAAGAATATTTCTGTGAAGGCTGGCAAGCAGTGGCAGTGTGGGAGACTGCAGCCCTTCCAGGGGGAGAACCAGTGGTGTCTCCTGAGATCCACGCCATGCTGGAACTTAGGACACTGGTAAGGCAAGCAAGCACCTCCCCTCCCTGGTAAGTGGTGGTGGTCTGGCAAACTGCGGCCCTTCCAGGGAGAGAACCAGCAGCAGCTCCTGAGATCCACGCCATGTTGGAACTTAGGACACTGGGAAGCCAAGCAAGTACCTCCCCTCCGTGGTAAGCGGTGGTGGTCTGGCAAACTGCAGCCCTTCCAGGGAGAGAACCAGCAGCAGCTCCTGAGATCCGCACCATGTTGGAACTTAGGATGCTGTGAAACCAAACAACCAGCCTGCCTCCTTGCTAAGCAATAGTGAACCTACTGATGCTGATGCACGGCCTAGAGCCAAATATCCCATTCCCCTATCCCCTTTCTCCCCCCTTCTCCCCCCGCTGCCCATTAACAACTGGGAACCAGAAATTTGAGTATCTCCTGGGAGACTGACATATCAAATAAGGGGGACTTCCTTCTACCATCTCTTTGAAGGCAAATATTTTTATTACTGCTTTGCTCTTTTCTGATTAATGGTACTGCTCTATTCAATATTCTGTTTTGATAAGTTCTATAGTGTTCTATATTTCATCTCATTTTGATATACGTGGCTGAAAGAACAACTATCATAAAGATAACAAAATATACTGTGATACCTATTACTGTTATCCCAGTAACCTGCTGTGAAGTTCTGTACCAATTTCACTGTAAGATCTTAGTTGGCTTTATTCTGTCTTGTTCTGTTGTATACTTTCAAAATAAATTTTAAAAAATATTTCTGTGTTGCCACTTTTGTAGTTAATTTTAGAGTCAAAACCAAACTTAAGGGAGAACAGAGTTACAATACTGTGTTGGGAAAGTAGGGCTACCGACATTAACAATGTCAAACGGAGGTATGGTTATTAAAAATGTCAACAAAAATGCAATTTTTCAGTCATACTTATTCTGATCTAAATCCAGCTGTTTTTCTAAGGAAGACAAGGAGGAGGAGGAAGAAGTAATGAAACTATAGCCAAAGTCATCTCCTTTACAGCTTAATGCACAGTTCATACAACTGTAGAACACATTTTGTTGAATGAAGTGATGACATTTTATGTACTTTTAAGCTATAATTTAATTTTCTTGTTCTTACTCGTAACTTTCCTATGTCTATTGAATACATTCTGGGGTATGCTTCAGAAGGTTTTTACAGAAGAGAGTGTTTCTAAATATATGGAGAAATGGCATTTTTACCATTATTCCGTTAAGAAAAATAAGATAGAAAAACTGATGAAATGGAAGAGTAGCTGAAATGCCCCAGTTTGTGTTTAATGTACTAAGTCACATTTATTCTTGTGATAGTTTGGAACAATAAGTTTTAAAATCAATCCCTTATTTCCTTTTAAAATGCTTTACCAGTTATGATTGTGTATGTGTGTGTGTAGTATAAAATATGAAGTACTATACTTTTGCTTTCTGTATTTTTGCCATGTTGTATATTTAAAGTAGCCTAGGGACAGTAGTCTTATACATGTAAACCCTCACACACATACTCTACTTATTCCTATAAAAATAAGTTTTTTATTATGCTTTTTCATTTAATATGTTTGTGTGTCACAACAATCTTTTTTGGTTCCCAATGGGAGTCCTGAAAGACAAGAGTTATCTAAAGCTAGAAAAAGATAGTCATTAGCTTGAGACTGAATTACAGTTACCTATTTATCAGCTATTCATTTTCACCCTAACTCAACAGGGTAAAACAGATAACACAGCACAGAAACACCAATCAAGACCACAATCCCCCTTCTTGGTATCTTCCCAAATGAATAAACATTGTCATACCACAGTGATATACATACACCCATGTTTATAGCAGCACAATTTGTAATAGGTTTAAACCTTGGAAATAGCCCAAATGTCCACTGACAAATGGATAAAGAAGATGTGATTTTTTATACAATGGAGTACTACTCTGCCATAAAGAAGTACAAACGTGAGTCATTTCTAGGTAAATGGATGCAGCTTGAGAATATATTCAAGCAAAATAAATTGGACATATACATTTAAATATCATATTTTTTCCTCTGGTGTGAGAAACTGAAAGGGTAAACAAAGACCAAAAGATATTGGGAAATAGAAAATGTTCAAATGGGAAGTGAAATGAGAGAAGGGGGAGAGGAAGGGAAAAGGACAAAGCAGAAGGTAAAGAATGTAAATAAGGAGGGAAAGATGGTTTGAAGGCAGGATATAGGATTGGGAGAAAAAGAAGAATCAAGACATATTATGTACAGGTACAAATTTCCTATGGTGGATGTGATCATTATGGATATCTAAAATGTACCAATTAAAGTAATTTAAAAATCAGAAACAAACCTTTTGTAAATAATGGGGGAAGTGTGGGGTTGAAGAGTAGAGAGAGGATTGGAGAATAAAGAAGAATCAAGATACACTACATAAAGGTACAAATTCCTTACAATGACTGTCATCATTGTGTACATCTAAAGTATACCAATAAAATTAATTTTACAAAGATAAAGGTTGGGCTAACAGTGAGTATTAGTTTCAATATTAGTGTTCAAAGTAAGAACCACTGAAGAATTTTTCCCTAAGTTTCAAGTCTATACTGTTTGGTTAGCTATTTTTTGAAATAAATTATTTTTCTTTGAATTTTTAGACTGAACAGTTTGAGTGTATTTATCAAGCAGATTTGTGTGTATTGAAAATAATTATTTTCGCCTGTTAAAAAAAGTAAGGATGAGTAATGTAGGAAATGATAAAAAAGGATGCATAAAACTGAGTTATTTGAAAAAGTATTCTCTAAACAGTAATCACATGATAGGAAAAGACATCAAATGATGATTTTAAAAAATGAAGTTTTTTCACCAAGAGTCACAATTTCAGAAGTGACTAATAGATAACACCTAAATTTTTTTTTCTTTAAGCCTCCCTAAGACATAGGCAGATACTACAAAATTCTTTAACTCTTGTGTTTATCACTTTCATAGTAAATACAAATTTAAAGGTATTTTAAAATATAATGGTAATGATTATATCAAGACAACAAAAGCTCTCTAAAATTGAATGCTACAGAAGTATTTATAAAAGTCTGAGCAAAACTATTTTTCTTCACTGCTAACAAAATACATAATAAACAATATCAAATTTAAAGCACGAAATTGACATTTTAAGCCTCATTACAACATAAAACTAGTAGCAAGTTAGTATGATTTCTCATAAAGTTTTTACATCACAAGTTTTTCATCACAAGTTTTTACAAAGGTTTCAAATATATATTGGAATTATACAGTCATAATTAAAGGGAACAATTAGATTAAGGAAAAAACATACAAGGAACAAAACGAACTCAAACTGGCTCATCAAGGCCTTTGATAACATAAAATTTTTTCTAGAAATGAGTTTAAAAGAAAAAGTTTGAAAATGTCACAGAGCTGCCTAAGGAGATTAAAGTAATGGAAAACATGATAGCCCAGAGAAAAAGAAGATACCAGAAAAGGAAACTTACCTGATATTGAGAATAATGCTTAATATATGCTCATTCAATAATTTATCTATTCTCACACATATGAAAACAAATTCTTATTAACATCCTGGAGGTTCACCGAATACTTCATGTACTGAATCTCCACACTGACAATTTTTAAATGTTCATTTATTTGGTAGCAAATAGAGTTCAATAATTGTCACAAAGCTGGACAAGTAAGAAAAGAATATCTGCTTGTACACAAAAAGACAATACATCACACTTCTAGCACAATAGGCCAAAAAAATATAGTCATGCACTGCTTAATAACAAGTATATGTTCTGATAAATATGTAGATAGGTGATTTCATTTATGAATATCATAGAGTATACCTATACAAAACTAGATAGTATAGTCTACCACACACATAAGCTATGAGGTATCGCCTATTATTGCAAGGTTAAAAACCTGTATATACTGTTACTGTGCTAAATATTGTAGGCAAGTTTGACACAGTAACAACTGTATAAAAACATATCTAATCATGGAAAAATATAAAAGATTAAAAAATGTTGTTCAGGGAAGTTACCATGAATGGAGTTTACATAACTACAAGATACTCTGGCTGGGTTAGTGAGTAACTGGTGAGTGAATGTGAAGGTCTAGCACATCAGTGTTACCTACTATAGACTTTACACTTAGGCTATACTGAATTCTTTCTTAACTTTTTAAAACTTTTTGATACTTGAAATAATATCTTAAAATCCCAAAACATTATTTAGTTGTACAAAAATACTTTTTTATATCTTTATTCTATAAAGAGTTCTCTATTTTAAACTTTTTAAAAACATTTTTTCCTAAAACCTGATACATAAAGGCACATATTAACCTAAGCCAAAGAACGGTCAAGAACACCAGTGTCACTGTTTTCCACCTCCACATCTTATTCCACTATAAGGTCTTTAGGAGCAACACTTTCTTTTGGACTATTCCTACAGGACCTGCCTGAAACTCATCCTGAGAAAGTGCCACTCTTCAGAAATATGTGCATGGTGGTTTGCTTGACTTTTATTTTTCTCATAACAGATTTGCTTGTAAGCAATATTGTACCACAACTATTCTTCTGTATTAGTGGTTCAATGTTCAAGTGCATGTTTTCAACTTTTTAAGGAGCT